ATCATGTTTAAAATTTTCTATCTTTTATGATGCTTTGACATCCTGAGGCAAGGACAGACTGCTCTTCCCAGGGCTAACTAAATCCAGATATAGCAAACAACTTGCCTGAGAGCGTGCCTTTCATATGCAAACTCAAATCCAAAGGCCACACTCCCAATACCTCTTTTATCTAACTCTCAGCACCAGTCAAGATGCCTACACACACCCCCCACACCCACACACCCCTGCCCCGCTTCCCTGGTGGCACAGTGGTTAAGAATCCATCTGCCAATGCAGGGGACACGGGTTCGAGCCCTGGTCCAGGAAGATCCCACGTGCTGCAGAGCAACTAAACCTGCGAGCCACAACTACTGAGCCCATGTGCCACAACTACTGAAGCCCGCATGCCTAGAGCCCGTGCTCCTCAGCAAGAGAAGCCACGGCATTGAGAAGCCTGTGCACTGCAACAAAGAGTAGCCACCCACTCACCGCAACTAGAGAAAGCCCATGCGCAGCAACAAAGACCCAATGCAACCAAAAATAAATAATAAATAAAGAAATAAATTTAAAAAAGAATACAAGGAAAGAGAATGAAGCCGGCTGCTCTGCTTCTTAAAGGGGATTCCAGGAATGATTATTCCCAGGTCAGTTTCCTGCCTATAAAACATCTTACTTTAGACACAGTATAAAGCACCTTTGAATGAATACAAAGTAACTTCACAGAATGTTTTTGTGGTTTATTATGAAAAGTAAACAAATGTCTAACCTTTAAGCATGTTCTTGGCCTAGAGGTGATCAAGCGGCTGACAGCAAACCATCAGTGATTACATAAAGTACGACAGACTACATCATTCATCAAAGGGGATGAACTAATTTCTGTGACAGACACATCCTAAGGTGACTCCCATTGAGTATAATCCTGTCTCCTTGAGATTGGGCAGAATCTGTGACTTGCAAAGTGGCAAAAGTGATGGTATATAGTCTGGCAAAAGTGATGGTATATAGTCTCTTACATTATGACTCCACCTTAGTGGACTGGGGAACGTCACCTGCTGGCCTTGAAGCCAGCTGCCATGCTGTGAGAGGGTCGGTAATGGGGAACCGCAGGCAGCCTCTTGAAGCTGAGAGCAGACCCCCAGCTGATAGCCAGCAAGAAAACAAGAACTTCAGTCCTGCAACTGCAAGCAACGGTTCTGCCAACAACCCTACGAGACTGGAAGATGATCCTGAGCTTCAGATAGGAACACAGATCAGCCAACACCTTGACCGAAGCCTTGTGAGACCCTGAGCAGAGGACCCAGCTCAGCTGTGCCCAGATTCCTGCCTGTGGAAACTGAGATCAGTTTTAACTGTTTTAAGCTGTTAGGTTTGTGGTAATTTGTTACATAGCGACAGATAGCTGAGATAACTGAACAGATTGTAAGGCAGTGAATGGGGACTGTGGGGAGAAAAAGAAGGTCTGTGCTCGCACCTTTAGCAAGTACATGACATGTTCTATGCAACCAAGTATCTGCATTAAAACAAAACAAAATGTTAATGTTTATGAAGAAGCAAAATTCAAATGAATGAGAAATCATAAATCTTTTAAATAAATAAAAGAAACTTCCGAGGATAATCTAAATGAAAAAACAAATCTGCGAATATCCTTTTAAAACCAATGCTAAACAAAACCAATCTGTAACAAAACTATTGAGAGTCACACAGAATCATGCCAGAAAATGAAAGTATACAGCTTTATCATCCTCCAACCCCACTTATTCAATATTTATAGGACAAACATTTATTGAGGCACTAGTATATACCGGTCACTGTATAAGGAGAAAGGAATGTGGGAATGAATAGAACGTAAGTCACATCCTGGCTTCTACCAACAGTGTACTACTGTAGCTTCTAATTTTAGCTGTAATTTACTTTTCCAAATTATGGGAAAATCTGCTTTCCTGAACAAGGTATTATTATATTTATTTATTTTGGAGGTATTTATTTATTTACTTACTTTTTACTGAAGTATAGTTGACTTACGTTACATTAGTTTCAGGTGTGCACCACAGTAATTCAATATTTGTTTAGCTTATACTCCAAAGTTATTATAAAATATTGACTATATTCCCTGTGCTGTACATTACATCCTTGTAACTTACTTATTTTATACCTAGTAGTTTGTACCTTTTAACCCCCTTCACCTATTTAGCCTCTCCCCCAGCCCTCTCCCCTCTGGCAACCACTAGTTTGTTCTCTGTATCTGTGAGATTTCTTTTCTGTTTGCTTGTTTCATTTTTTAGATTTCACGTATTAGTGAAAACATACACTATTTGTCTTTTTCTATCTGACTTATTTCCTGAGCAAGGTATCACTTTAAATTACTGAGGAATTTGATTTAGAGATATATTCAGAGATCTTATCCTTTAGAATAAGATACTTCTTGAAAAAGCTTCCCTGAGAGCGACAATGATTCTAATACCTCAACAAAAGATGAAATCAAATCCCCTTAATTATTCTCATTTCTAGAAGGATTGTTTTAGCTGACAAATCCAGTCAACAATATTATGCACCTCCTGGAGACAGACCTAGGTAAAGAACAAAAATTAGAAGACATGTTTCCTACCCTGAGGAAATAAAATCTTGATGGAAAACCTAGAAATTCACAGAGGATGCCAAGCTCCAGAAAGGAATGCAGCCCAGGAGACAGATGCTCTGGCATTTTAAAATAAGCTTCTTTGTAAAAGTAAAACTGGGAAGAATCAAACCGTTGTGGGTACCATCAATCATCTGTAGAGTCATTCTAAAAGCAAACCTACAGACAATGAAACAAAAACGGCTAAGTAAATGGGGGTTGAGAATACGTACTGATACCCAAATTCAACCATAGAAATTATTACAGTTATTTTAGCAAAATGAAGCCTTGGATCAGGAGGCAGTTTTGGCAACAGGAAACGAGGAAAATTATTTAATACAACACAAGAAAAACTCTGAAGGACTTGAATGAAAGTGCAACCTTTAAATGCAATAAAATTTAAGTCTGTGAAAATCTCATTATGATGTCCTTATTTCCTAATTTGCCCATGGATTGATCACAATCAACACTACTGTTAAATTTCTTATTCAAAACCACAGAGAGATGAAAATCTCTCTCCCGAGCAAAAGGTGAAATGGCTTCTCACTGCCTTCTCCAAAACACTCAAACCACTTGGCAAGGCATTCGAGGCTCTTCACCGGAGTCCTGCTGACCTTCTCCCTCCTCCAGACTTGGGGAGGTCCTACCCCTCTGTCTAGTCCAAGACTCTAATGGGTTGGCCTGTCCTGGCCTGGATTTCTTACTCCCTC